GTCTCTTGAGGAAAAGTAGTTTGAATGGTATCTATCTGTGTCATGATTGAAGGCAAAAAATGACAGAAACGTCACGAATAGCGCGTGGAGATAGATGAGGCTGATTGATAATTGTCGCAAATCATAAAATGAGCTATCACGGGATGTAAGGCTGTAAAATTAAATGTGTAGGATACATGAATAATGCATTGAACATCTTTTATGCTTTTGTTGTGTGAAGGGTGGGGACAGAAAGCGCCTGCTATTAAGAAAGCGTATGTGCTATGAGCAATATTGAGCAGTCGGGAGTGGTGGACTGAAGGGACGCCGACGACCGACTGCGAGATAAGTGAGTTGATACATCTTTTGTATAGTTCTAATGGCAAGAGTACACTAGGAAGAAAATCAGCCAAGCGTTCAGCGAGAGTACTCGACCAGCGTTACTGGTGATAAATTCACAATAAAAAGGACCTTTTATATCCTCACGTTTGTTTTACAAAGACAACAAGCTATTTTGTTTGCGAGAGTTAATAAATAGTGGAAGAGAAAAAGTTGTACCGTTTCATCGTACGCGAAGTTGCTAGATCGATTCGCCTCATTAATAGCACACGCAGACAGTATATCTGTCTTCCACAGTCGAGGGTGAAGTGAGTCGGCACAACGAACGCTACTTGTTTCTTGTTTGTACGTTTATCTCGACACTTATTATTCGATGCTTTTCTATGTTGCCAAATAAAGTTTCTTTTTAACAGCACAACTACCAGATTTAAAAATGCTCTTCTTTATTGTTTTGTCAGAGTTTCCGATATTCCTTATCTATCGATCCTCACATGATTACCTACATATTCCAGTAATCCTATCTGAGTTATTTCTGACGAATTTCATAGTTTCTTTATTTGTTCAAAAGATACAAATGTATTATTAAGATATGAGTATTTTGCACTTACTCATATGTTCTCATCCTCAGTTTTTAGATTATTACTTACATATTCTAGTATCAATAGCAAAAACCTGAATTGAAAAGGGAGTCTTGCTTTAATTACAGTGGCGGCGCGAAGAGGTAAAAGCAGAGGAAGGGTATTTTCCAAAATGGGAGAAAATTTGCAAAATCGTTGGAAATGTAAGAAATTAAACGATTAATATGTAATGATAAAAAAAATTGAAATATATCATTTTGTCTGTTCATCAACTATTTGATATAATGTGAGTACTTCCGTTTGATACATAAAGCACAGCTACCGTTCTAAAGTTTTAGTAGAATTTTTCAATTAGAAAGCTAAAACAGATGATAAAACCATCCAATGAGTCACCTTTCATTTGTTGAAAAAGAAGAGCGACAATAATATTATTATTTCATAATACATGTACCAATAAGTATTTGTCTCTATTCTGCGTTACTAAATATTTTTAAATGATGATCTGATATTAGTGGTATCTATAAAGAGAATGTAAATTTGAATGTGACTTATGTTGTTGTCAGTAGTCGTGGGATATTCTGTAGCAAAGAAATTGTTAAATGTACCTAAAAGAAGAAAAATATTTCTTCGAATTTTTATGAAAATATTATTTTTCTAATGATTTCTTTTCACTATTCAGATTCCTTTTCTGGTCAGATGAAGATCAAATCTTTAAACTTTCATCGCAAATCAGACAAAACTGAAAGAGCTCAGATGAGTTTTTTTTGTTACCGAGAAAATCCGGACACATATTCTCTAAAATTAGAGAAAATCTCACTCATATTTTCTCAAACATCAGAGAAATTTTAGAAAATTTCACGTTTAGTTTCTCTTAGATCATAGAATTTTTACATAGTTTTTTGGAAAAATGGGAGAAAATTACAAATAAACTTTTAGGAAATAGGAGAAAAATTTAATTAATTTTCTGGCAAAATGGGAGAAAGTTTTGTTAAAATTTTCTAAAAACTGGAGGGAAGTACCTCCTCCGGTCGCGCCGCCACTGATTTTAATTACAGGGTTGAAAAAAGACGTTTCGATAGGGGAGACTGCTATATTCTCCAATAGACTTAATAATTCCTTTTTATGAAAGAAAGGCTTATTGACCCCTTAAAGAGACTGCTAAAATCGTAACAGTTTGTTAGCTTGCTCAAGTTAATCAGATCAAAGGAGTTTATGAATCGATGAAAATGTTCTTCGCAGCAGTCAGAAAATGATTAGTCATAAATAATTGAGGTCGAGCAGTCCGAATCTGCTGTTACTTCTTGAAAAATATTTTTCTCTTAATTATTATTAATTAAATACTATTTCTTGCTTCTCTAACCCAATCCGATTGCAGCAATACAGAAATCCATGAAAACTAACCGCTGATCATTACGCAAGGATTGACCGAAAGGTAATCGGAGTCGAAGATTTCGAATCCGATGTTAGTTTTTCAAATTTTTTAAAAACGTTATTCTTTCTAGACAAAGGACCATTTTTTGAAGATACCCAGGTCAACAAATCCGATTCTGGATCCGATCGGATCTTACCGGATCCGACCATCCGACAAAATCCGATCGGATTCCTGGAAACGGAATTGCATTGGAATCCGAGTAGAAAAATCCCGTCGGTTGTTGCAAATTTTATGAGCGATCTTTTTAGCTATATTCTATGATGACCGTTAGAAAATCCAGGAAATCCATGTTTCGGATCCGAGACCGTCAGAATTCAATGCGATTCCGTCATCAGGATTTCATCGGATCCGTCGAATTCCTTTAGGATCTGATGGGATTGTTCGACCTGGGCGGTTGATAAGCTAAGATTTCTTTCTTATGTAATCTTTTCTGCATTGATAAACAATAAAATTCAAGAGTGTATTGTGAGAGTAAAAGATATTCATTCATATCCACGCTCAAACTTTCCACAGAAACAAGTTACGCCAGATCTCAGATGAACGCCACATATTTATTTTTACCAATTTTATTAGCAAATAAGAGATTCATTTTTATTCTTTGTTCAAACTCATACCCTCACNGATTTTAATGGTAAAATATTCAATTGAATAAATGAACCAATTGGATTTGATTGACTTATTGTTGAAATCATTTCACCTAATTCATATGGATTAAATGCACGATAAGATTCTCTTACAATTGACTCAATTCCAATTTGATTAATAAAATAATTATCAATTGAAATATTTCCTGTAAATAATTCTGCATTAATATAAAAATTTGGTTTAATTTCTCTTGCATAATCCATCATTTCTTGTGCAAACCAAATAGGTGTTGAATGACAATTATCTAATCGACAACCATGAAAGATTTTAACAATTAATCGTGTATATTCTTTCATATAAGAATATAAAATATCCGAACATTCTTCACGTTTATTTCCAAAACGTAATTTAATTAAATCACACCAAGGAATTAAATCACGACATAAATAAACATCTTGACCTTCATCAGCAAAATTTCGTCGTGGATCATCATTCATTATCCATCCATTATGTGCCATAATATTCATTTGATATTCAAAATCATTTTCAATTAAATTATTGATTTTATCAGGATGTTGAAATTGTTGATTTGGATATGAAAAATAATTGGATACAAATGGAATTGATGGAAATGAAATTTGTTTATATTTTGGTCCATCATATGAAAAAAATCGATAAAAACATGATTTAATACAATTATCAATTGCACGTTCAAGTTTTTTATTTAAATCATTTTGAATATTTTCATTGATTTTAATTAAATCTGATTTCAATTGTTCACATGATATTTTAATTAATTCTTCAGTTTTGTCAATATTTGATCTTTGATAATAATAAATTTTTTTAGCAAATTCAAAATTAATTGTACTTTTTAATCGATGATATTTCCCATAATCAATTTGAAGTTTTTCATTTGAAGATCTTTCTAAACAAATAGATTCTTTTGATAAATATTCATGAAATTCTTTAACAATTTTATCAATATCAACAATAAAAAATTCCCATAAACGATATTTTGGAATTTGTTCATTGAGAAGATACTTTCGAATTAATTCTAAATGATCTTGTTGAAGATTGGATGAAATTCCTTTCGATAAAAGTTTATTTTGTGAAATATCTCGAGTTAATTGAATTAAAATTGAATCAAGAAGAACAGCAGGTCNACATAATTTTCTTTTTTAAAAGGGATGGATTGATAATTATAGTGGAACAACAAGTATTCTTACTTCAGTAAAGTTTTAATTGAAATATTTTTTATTAATTTAAAAAGAAATTTTAGTTGGGAAAATGTTTATTAAGATCAGGTCAAGCTAATTCATATATTGATCATCCATTAATTCCAGTTGATATTGTTGCTAATATGACAATAGTTATTGGATGGATTACAGCAACAAAAAATAATTTGTAATTGAGAAAAAAAGAAATTCTTCTTGAACTTTTCATTTTTCATTCAGATTATCAAATCCAATGGTTTATAATTGTTCAACTGGATCAAATTATAAGACTTGTGTTTCATTTTCTGATTATGGTAAATTGATTTTCATGAAAAATTTTGAAAAAGAATTTTTCTATGTTTAGTTGAAATTGTAATTCGAGAACAAAAATCAATTGGATTTGAGAATTATCGACTAATTCAACCAAATCTTTATCTTACAACAATAACGTATATCAATAACTTCTCTTTTCTTCTTCTTCAATGATTTTTTTCTTCTTTTAGACCTTTTTATTATATTCGACGTTTCTTCGAAGAAATTCTTCCGGCATATTTAATTGATTTCTTTTCTTTATTAACATTTCGTAAAACAGGGTAAATCAAATCGATTAACATGTCATATTAATTGTAAATTATTTTCTTTTTAGAATGGTAAAATTGAATAAAAGAATTTCCAATGTTGTCGCAACTTTAAATTATTTTGCATCAAATCAATGGATATTTTCGAATCATAATAGTCAATTTTTATTAAATCAAATGACAGATTTTGATAAAGAAGAATTTCATTTTGATGTTAAAGATATTGATTGGACAATTTATCTTCGAAATTATTGCATTGGAGTGAAAAAATATCTCTTAAAAGAACCGTTACATCAATCGAAAAAATCCAAATTGACTTTTAGGAAAATCTTGTAAGTTTTTCAATGAATTTCTTCTTCATTTTCTTCTTTGTTTTTTTTTATAATAGAACGCGTTATTTTCTTTCGCTGTTATTCTTTTTGTTTTTGACATGGTTTACTCGTCGATACTTTCGAAGAAAATTATTTTGATTTCGTAGAAAAAATCACCTTTTTTTGTATTTGTTTCTTTTTCTTTTGCTGAAAAATGACTTTTTAGTTGAATTAACAATTTATTTCCACAAACAAATCTTTCGTACATACAAATTTGCAAAGTCAACTAGGTGCACCATGGGTGATCTACCTAAGCAGTCAAGGTTTTGGAAAGACGCGTGTAAATGGAGGAAAACACTATTTTTATAGTGTTTACATGCGTGCAGGATCATCAAGTGGAAATGTAAACATGAAGAAACTTTCTTTCTGATTGTGAACACCGCTGACATTTTCTCGAGTATGATTAACAAACGTGTTTGCTAGAAGAAAGTGCTCTGTTCTGTCGTTTTATCGTTCACTTTTCTACATGAACTTATAAACATGTAGAAATCTGAGATATTTTGCGTTTAACTGTACAGTTATAAATGTTGAGAAGTCTGCCATAAATAATGGTCGTGTTTACGCTTAAGAATTACGATTTTATACTGATTATCTTTCATAAATTATTTCTCGTACTTTTCTAGGAAATTCCAGCGTGTTAGCGATGAAAAAGTCAAATCAATATGTGTTTTCATAAATTAAATTTGTATTTACAAACATCGTACAGTTTTCACCTGAATTATATCTACAGAATATTAAAACGAATGGTTTGGTATTTTATCTGTTTAACATATGTAAATGAACAAAGATGCACAAATACAAATTGTACATTGAATTTAACTACGAACTGTTTTAATCCTACAATACTGTATTTAGTATATCTATATTCTAATGTACTATCGTGTAGTGTCATGTATTGACCCTATTTTGGTTCTTCAATTTTCTCTACACTATAATGTCAAAGCATTTTAATGTTGAGGATTACTATTACACCCTCACCCTCACCCTCACCCATTTCTTATTGTCGTTTAGGTTCTAGGTTGATATCGATATCTAATTAAGAGTAAATCATATTTCAAATACGAAATGAAATATTTTCTACTATTATTTAGGTTCCTAGCCATATTTGATTAAAGATAAGTCATATTTTAGATCTTAGATTAAATATTTCGTATTGTCATTTAGATCGAGATCGAAATCTTACGAAAGGTGAGTTTTATGTTATATAGAAAGCGAAATGTTTTCTTCTTTTATATTTAGAGTGATCTTTATCGCAGATAAATCTTAAGTGAGATATTAGAAATAAAAACAGACCCATTTCCTCTTTATATCTAAGTTGATTTGTACGTGTAATCACATACTTTTCTGTTGTAGACGATGTGTTTTCGCATGTTGTTTTTCTGAACGTACACGTCTGATAATCGGGGTTCCCGATGGTAGTCGTAAAACTTCTTGAAAAATTTGAGGAAAATGGGTGTTACTTTTTGGAACGTGTACGATGCAAAAAACTAACATGATGTTCAAGTATTGCGTTTTGACGGGTATTGCAAACGCTCATGAGTTATTAGCGATGAAACGATATAAGTTCCTTAGCGTTCGTTTCAATACAAATTACATATAGATACTCGCCACATATATCAACGACTTAGAAATTATGTCGTGTTTTGATCGTTTTTTTTTTGACGTGTTTTAAGGTGATCCCCGGGAATCACGATGGCGCATCCAGACATGGTCGAAAAACCCTACAGTTTACACGCGTTTTTTCAAAATCTTGACTGTTTGGGTGGAGTTGAGTTTTCGTTTGAAATCATCTCCATATGTAACTACAAGTAAATTTGATTCTTCGTTTATATTCGAGAAAAGAAAAACCTTTATAAAAATCTGTCGATCAAAATACGAAATATAATTCTCTATTTAGTTTCGTGTCCTTTGAATGAAAAATATTCACCTACAAACAGAACCGATGTGGTTGATTGCACAAACAAGATATTGTGTGAGAAAAGGAATAGAAAATGAAGGCACAAATGTGTGTTAATCATCCAAAGAAAGGTAAAAGCTATTTTGAAATCAATTTATTTGAATAACCATTTGTAATTTCTCTGCTTTGAGACACAAACCAGGGAATGATATTGTTCATTTATGTTTTCTTTTAGATTAATCGAAATGAACGATGAAAAAAAAAAATTATTACCAAATGAAGGTCAATCTTATACAAAGGAAAAGTATGGAAAATATTGGAATCATTTGAAGATTTTCTTCTCTGCTTATAGATCATCAAATGACTTCTCATCATCATCATCCGTCTCATTTGTTCAATTGGTAAACAATTCGATTTTGTTTTCTTTGAAAAATTCTTTTTTAAATCTTAGTTTCGCTATGCTGATCAATTAGATAAATGTTTATTAATTGTTGGTTTGATCTCATCTGTTATTCAGGGATTTCTCTTTCCAATGATCATTTATTATATGGGTTGTCTTTGTGGATTAATTGTTCAAGAAGTTTATAATCAATGTTTAGTTCTGAAAACATCTCAATGTCCTCATGGAATTGAAATTCATTACGGAAATTTGTTCAATATTTCCAAGTAAATTTCATTGATTTGAATCGAAGAAAATATTGACGTTCTTTTAGATTCTGTACAAATCAAAATATTCAATTGAGAAATTTTCAGGAAAATGATCGCGACTTTTATGAAAAGATTTTTCATTTGGCAATGAAATTAACCCGTAAGAAAGAAATCGTTTTCGGAAAATCATTTGACAATTTCTTCGATAGTCTTTGCGTGTTTTCAATTTCTTGTTTCATCAATTAATTCCGTGACTTTTATGAGCTCAAGTAAACGACAAACGAATCGAATACGACAATTATTGTTCAAGAAAATCATTAATAAAGTATTTTAAAAAAAAGTTTGAATTCAGAAGAAAGATGAAGAAGATTTTGGTTTTTTTAGAATTTAACATATTTTGATAAACATTCGAATTGTGAATGGTTTATCAAATTATTATCAAATATTGATCGAATTTCATTGGGAATTGGAGACAAATTATCCACTTTTCTTACAACATCGTTATATTCTTTCTTTGGATTGTCGATTTGTTTATTTGTCTATTGGCCATTGGCAATTTTATCATTTCTCATCATATTTCTCAATTTTATTCTTATTGGTTATTTGGCAAAGGTAATTCCCATCTCACAGAATTCGATTTTCGAATACTTTTTCTACATAGGTCATATTAGAAGTATCAATTGAAGAAATGCGTGCATACGCCACAGCGGGAAGCGTTGCTCAAGAAGGATTAGGTGCTCTACGTACTGTTCTCGCAAATAATGCTGTTGGATTAATCATCAATCGGTAAGTTTTCATCAATTCTAATGAGAAAAGAAGATTTGTTATCATTGATCTTCTCTCAATAGAAAATCGAGTTTCATTCTGTGATGAATTTCTTTGTTTTTAGTTATACAAATCATTTGGATTTGATTCGTCAATATACAATAAAGAAAAGTGTTTTTGTTGGATTAATCTTTAGTTTATTAAAAATCATGTTATATTTATTTTATATCATTTGTCTTTTAACTCTGGTATTTCTCTTTTTTCAACTTTCCGAACAAAATCGCCCAACAATTAATGATGCTTTATTAGTAAGTCAAATGAAATTCTTTCTCATTGAAAATTCTTTCTTTTCTTCTATTTGAAGATTTTATCAATGTCGGGAATTTGTCTTGTTCTAATCAATCAAGCGGCAGCATCTTGTGTATTTCTAAGTGAAGCCAAAGCTGCTGCTGTGGATGTGTTTTCGATATTAGATGAAGATGATTCAACAGATGATGACGAGGAAAGAGAATTGTTGACGAACGCTTTGTTTAATACGATCGAATTTTATCACGTGAGTTTTGCATATCCAACAAGATCAAATATCGATGCGCTCAAAGATATGAATCTGAGTTTCGAACGAGGAAAGATGATCGCCTTAGTTGGACATAGTGGAAGTGGGAAAAGTTCGTGTTTACAATTATTAACGCGATTTTATCAAGTTACATCTGGTGAAATTCGTCTAGATGGTACAAATATTCAAAATTATAATAAAAAATGGTTAAGGGAAAACATCGCAATGGTCAATCAAGATACCGTTAGTTGAATTTAATCGAAAATCGATTTCTTCATTTGTCTTCGATTGTCTTAGGCGATTTTTTCAACGACGATTTTTCATAATATTCAATATGGAAATTGCAAAGCAACAGAAAATGATGTGATCGAAGCAGCAAAACAAGCCAATGCTCATTCTTTTATCATGACATTACCGGATGTAAAAAGAAAGGTCGAATGTGTTCATTTTGATTGCAAAGATTTTGATTTTGTAGAAATATGAAACATTAATTGGTGAAAAAGGTTTGAATTTATCGGGTGGAGAACGACAACGGATTGTTTTAGCACGTGCGTTGATTCAAAAAGCACCTATTTTATTATTGGATGAACCAACAAGTGCGTTGGATAATCAAAGTGAAAGACTTTTCCAACAAACACTCTCTCAATTATCTTCAAATCGTTTAATTTTAATTGTTGCACATCGTTTATCAACAATTCGTCATTGTTCGTGTATTTATGTGTTAGAAGATGGAGAAATTCTGGAATTCGGTGATCATGATACTCTTGTCGAAAGACGAGGAGCATATTTTCGATTAATTCAAGCTCAAAAACAAGAAAATATTGAAACAATTCAATCGGATTTGTTCAATGATGAAAATCAAAGTAGAGAAATTCTTACGTTTTGTCATTTTGATCTCATTTGATTGAATATTAGAATTCAAAGATGACGAATTAGTCACGAAAACTTCGATTGAGAGTGCCGGTCAAGTACATCATGCAAAATCATCTCGTTCGAAATATCCAATGTTCACTTTGCTTCGAATGGCGCATCCAGAATTGTATTATATTCTTCTTGGTTCGATTTTTTGTTTTATCTATGGTGGACTTGATGTCGGATTTTCTTTATTACTCGGATATTCAGCTAAGGTAACTCACAATTTGATTTCAATTCTAGAAATGGTCGTCAATTGATCATGTCTTTGCGTCAAATCTCATTTTTCAAAACAGATGTATGTTTCCTCGAAAAAGAGATGAGGTTCGAGAACATAAAAGACGAATCTTACCGAGATCATTATTGAATCGAATCATTGTCTCGGATGGTGATCAAATCTCAGTGTTACACAATTCATTTTTTCGCATTTGAATTCCTTTTAGACATTTCAAGAATGTGACACTGAAATTCAACAAAATACGACCAAATGGATTTGTCTAAGTTTTGTTTTCTTGGCCATAATGACATTTTTGTTGAATTTATTATCAGTATGGATTCGATTGAAGAGAAGAAAACTTCTTGTTTTGAATTTATTTTTAGCATTTAAATCTGGCAATTGCAGGTGCATCGTTTATTCGAAGACTTCGTATTCGAGCATTAACAGCGTATTTTCAACAAGAAATGGATTGGCATGATCGACTAGAGAATAACAGTGCCGCACTTTGTGTTCGTCTTTGTACAGATGCTGATGATATTAAAAGAGTTAACGAATCTTTTCGATGATTTTCGTTTTTATTTGATGTTTTCTTTGTTTTAAGTTGTTCAATGTTCGAATTGTATTTGTATTACAAGCAGCAGGAACACTTTTAATCGGTTCAATCATTGGTTTCGTTATCAATTGGAAATTAATGTTCATCGTAGTGATTCAATTAGTGATTTTTATCATCGCTGTCGTGGAAATGATTTCTATAACACAACGACATTATATCAAACATAATCAGATAATGGAACAAGCCACAACAGTATGTTTTCATATCTTTAAAAGGAAATTGTTCATTGAGAAGTATAGCACTGTGATATTCCTTTCATTTTTTGTCGTTTTTATTTTCAGTTAGTTGTCGAATGTTTGACAAATATTCGTGTTGTTCATCAATTGAGAAAAACCGAAGATTTCTCTGTTAAATACAATTCATTAATCGATCAAATGACGATGTATGAAGAAGATTTTATTTGAAATGATCAAAACTTTTTGGTTGAATATGTTTTAGAAGAAAAGAAGTTTATTTTCTTATTGGATTTTTATCAGGAATTCGACATTCCATTGGACGATTTGCTGTTGGCATTTTATTTCTCGTTGCTTTGAAACTTGTTGATTTTCAGCAATTAAAATTACATCAGATGATCGTGTAAAGACTTTTTCGAATCATTCATTTCAATTCCAATGGATTCTTTTTAGAGTATTTGGTTATGCAATTTATATTAGTTTTGCTACAACAATGGCTGAAATGGCGTAAGTATTTGAATTCGAAAGAAGAATGAAAGTATAGGAGATTTAAATTCGACAATTATTCATTTTAGTGCTGAAGAACTTGGTCGAACAGGAAAAGCAGCAGAAAACTTTGTTGAATTATTTGAACGCCAATCGCCCATTGAGAATTTCTCGTCCAATGGAATGAAATTGGTAAAGAAATTTTCTCTCGAAATTCGAGAAGAATTACTTTTCTTTAGAATTCATTTCGTGGCCAAATTAATTTTCATCAAATAACGTTTTCTTATCCGACGAGAACTCATGTGAAAGTCTTAGATCAATTTTCATTGAAAATCAATCCGAGTAAAATCTTTTCCATCGAAAAACGGGAAATCTCTCGTTTTTTCTTTCTCTTTAGGGGAAAAGATTGGTTTAATTGGTCCGAGTGGATGTGGAAAATCAAGTCTTGTCCATTTACTTCTGCGCTTTTATGACGTTGACCACGGTCAATTAGTAAGATAAGATCGATTCTATTTTAATTTCTTAAAATCATTTGATTTTTTCAGTTAATCGACAATAACGAAATTCGCTCATTGGATGTAAATTGGTGGAGATCCCAATTATCATTAGTTAATCAAGATCCAGCTGTCTTTAATACAACTATTCGTGAAAATCTCTTATTTGGTTGTTCTTATCAACCAGATTCGATTCCAACGATGGATCAAATCATTCATGTAGCGAAACTTGTCAATTTACACGATTTCATTTGTTCATTACCAAATGTATTATCAATTGAAAGTTTACTTTTCAAATTTGATTTTGCTTTTTCGTAGGGTTATGAGACAAATGTTGGTTTCAACGGAACACAATTGTCTGGCGGACAAAAACAACGAATTGTCATCGCTCGTGCTCTTCTTCGACAGACTAAATGTGTGATTTTCGATGAAGCGACATCGGCGTTAGATACAATTAACGAACAAGTTCGATTTTCAAAAGCGAAAAAAGAATTCTTCTTTTGTCGAATATTTTCTTTTAGCATCTTCAACAATCGTTGGAAAAAGATGGTTTTTATCACAATTCCACAGTTATTATCATTGCTCATCGTTTATCAACTGTTCGTCATTGCGATGTGATTTATGTTTTGAATAATCAAGGAGAAATTATCGAATCAGGAACACATGAAACACTTCTCCAATTACGCGGAATTTATTTTCATTTGAATAACGATATTCTTTAATAAAAAATACTCTTTACATTTCATTGGTTTAGTTCGAAATCACTTTCTGTGACACTTACATCGCTTTAATCGTGTAACACAAGTGTATCGATATTTGATAAGAGTGTATTTGTACTAAACATATGTGAATATCAATTGTTGACTGATAAATTGATCGAAGTTGAAACTAGACGGATTTCTTCGATCCGCTCTGGTCCGGCCGGATGATTTTTGACGTAGAACTGGCAAAAATCCGGCCAAACGATGAATTGGTATGATAATTAGTATGTTGATCACGATGAAGACGAACAATTTGTTGAACAGCAGATAATCGTTTGAACAAATGAGAATCAAAATCTATGAAAAGAAAAAAATACATTTGAAGTCTTTTCTTTTTGTAATATGCGATATTTCAAAAGAAAAACATACAAAAGCTCGATTTTCTAAAGAAAAAAAACCTTGAAAACAAGTACAATTTTGTGATATTGTAAAGTGGTAAATATTCGGTTTTGACCGGACCAGTTTCAACTCTGAAATCGATCATGTTATTCACCTTCATTACTTCTAATTTGTGAAAATAACATTTTGAATATCCTTCAATTTTCAATTGTTGTTTCATATTGATAAAATCATTTTCAAAACCAACTCGAAAAGATAAATAGACAAAAACACTTATTCCATTTTCTATTTATTTGTTTTCTCAATATCGATACCGCTATCGATATTTTCCATTGACACATTTGAGAAAATATCAACAAAGAAAAAGTTATTTTATCGAATGAAATCGTATTTATTCCGTTTATTGATATCACGTGATGAGATTCGTTCTTCCTTAGACCTTGGTTAATCACTCGATGATATTATATACAATAACATCGAGAGAACAGAAATGATGGTAGAGAATTGTCCCTTTAGGACCCTAAGGGTTGGAGGGAAAATAAATCGCAAACAAAAAAAAAAAGAACAGAAATGATTGATCATATCCAATCATTCGTAACGAAATAAAATCGAATATCATTCAGTGTGAGTAATTCGATCCGATGTTTCGTGGTTTCTTTGTCCTAATTTTTGATTTCTTGAAATCTTTATTATTTTCTACAGGTCCCAGGGATCGCATATACAAATATGTTCGCCCTCATTTGAATACAGAGCAGAAAATTCTGAATGTCGGTTGTGGTGATGGAATTTTATCTGAATTAATTCGATTTGATTTTCCTGGAATATCTATTCATGATATTGATGTTGTCGATCTGAGATCAAATAAACAAAGTCAACATTTTCATTTATTTGATGGTTATCATCTCTCCAAATATGCCAATGAAACATTTGATGTGATTCTAATTATTTATGTTTTACATCATGTTCGATCTCGAGAGATTTTACTCGAAGAAGCGATGCGTGTAGGAAAAAAAATCATTCTTATTGAAGATATTCTCAATGAACCAAATGGAACTTGTCTCGATCGTTTTTTCACATTTACTCATCGAATTTGGGCCAAATGGATTTGTCACGATCAAAATGCGTATGTCGAATTTTGGACAAAATCAAAATGGTTTTCGATTCTTCTCAAATATCGAAATTCGCTTCATTATGAAGATATACCTGAGAAAAAATGGTATCATTATGTTAATCATGGATTATTTCTTTGTCAAAATTAACTTTCTTTTTCATTTTGATGAGAAAATTCTTTTTCAAATTTTGATTTTTATGAAGAAAAATACGATTCAAATAGAAGTTGTTTTTTGAGGAAAAAAATAAAATGAAATCGATTATTCTTGTTGATTTTCGGATGTCCATCGAATTTGTGGAGGAATAAGTTGAAGATGAACATGATTTTGATACTTTTGTGCCAATTGAATTAACGAAATGATTGTTTGATCTGTTAATAAAGTTGGTTGTAAACCTAATGAACGAAGATTTGTATTAATTGAATTATAATAATGAATTTCTTTTTCTTTTCTCGGATTATTCAAATGTTGAATTTCACAAGGAATTTTCAAAGATTCGTTTGCCACTTTGGAAACCATTTGAGCCAATTGTAAAACAGAGAAGATTTCAGTAAATTGATTAAAAACTCGATATTCTCCGAGTTGAGCTGGTTTCTCACAAGCAATTTCAATGCATTTCACCGTATCACGAATGTTAATAAATGATCGTGTTTGTCCACCTTTGCCATAAATCGTCAATGGATGACCGAGTGCAACTTGAATACAAAATCGATTGAGAACAGTTCCAAAAATATGATCGTAATCGAATCGATTGGCTAAAATTTCCGATAAATTGATTTCATCTGTTTCATAACCATAAACAACACCTTGATTTAAATCTGTTGCTCGTAAATTCCAAGTTTTACACGCAAAATTGATTTGATCACTATCGGAAACTTTTGTTAAATGATAAAATGATCCAGGTTGTTTAGGAAATGGTAATCGATCAGATCGTCCTTTATATTCAATATGAAGAAAACCTTCTTCAATATCAATATTTGGTGTTCCATATTCTCCCATTGTTCCTAATTTAACTAAATGTGTCTCAGGAGAATATTCATGTAATGCCCATAGAATATTTAAATTTCCAACTGTATTGTTGATATGAGTTCGAATCGAATGATCGTGATCAATCATTGAAAATGGAGCTGAACGTTGTTGAGCAAAATGAATTAAAGTATCGAATTTTTCTTCACATTTGAGAATTTCACATAACGATGAGTAATTTGTTATATCGATATTTATTGTGTGAATTGTTTTTCCTGTTAAATGTTTCCATTGTTGAACACGTTGTTCAAGTGAAGAAATTGGTACAAGTGAATTTAATTGATGTTCTTCATCCCACTGTCGACGAATGAAATTATCAACAATTGTTATTTGATGATTTTTCGCAGATAAATAAAGTGCAGTTGCCCATCCACAATAACCATCGCCACCAACTATTAAAATTTTCATTTCAAATCCAACGAATCTAAACAATATCTATTAGCGTTATCTTCACTCGAGAGATGAAACTCAATCTGTTGATTCGAATAACTGAGCTAAAGATTCTACAACGAGGATAATATGAACAGATGGAGAGGAGGATGTGAAGGAATGCGTACGTACATGTCTGTAATAGTATCAATGTATTTTCCTTGAATAGATGTAAGTTATTCTGAGGTCGGTCAACCGTATACTCAACTATTGTGAATAATCACTCCAATCATCGTTTCGTATTCGAAATATTTTGCGTGTCAATGCAAAGTGGGTGAAAATAAGCGTGATTTGAATGAAGGTCGATTACTCTCAATCATCATTTGTGAAGAACATAAACACACGAGTTTCTTCAATGAAAATTCTAATTTTAAGTGAATATCTTCATCCTCAAACAAGTGGAATAACGATTCGTATTGAATATTATATAAAATATTTAAGAAAATTCGGTCATGAAGTCATTGTTTATGGTCCAAAAGATTGTCCAACAGCAAATCGAACATTATTTAGTATTCCGTGTTATTTTTTCAATAAAGATATGCGAATTTGCTTTCCATCTCTTCAATTATATCGAGATATTCTTTTCGGAAATTATCAAATGGTTCATATCGTCGGTCCAAATATATTTCTTTTTACGATTTTCATTTATTTACTTTGTTTATTAATGAAAATCAACATTTGTACTTCATATCATACAAATGCATATGAATTCGTTCGATTATATATAAAAAATCCGTACGTGTTCCAATTGATGACTAATTATGGATATTACACAAATTATTATCCAACAATTCGATTAAAAATTCCAATTTTACATCCAGAAAATTATACTGATTTAAAAATTCTTTGTAATAATTTTAACAAAGGAAATGTTCTTTCAACTGGAATCGATACTCAATTATTTTCATTTTCAAAGAATTTTCTTCGAAATAAATTAATTTATATCGGACGAATTGCACCTGAAAAGAATCTATTTCGTTTAATCGATTTATTTTCATTAATTCAATCTGATTACACTTTAGACATCGTTGGTTTTGGTTCAGTTGAAACGCAATTGAAAGATTATGTTCGAAAAAAAAACATCGAACATATTCGTTTTATTGGTCGAATTCCATATGATCAATTGTATAAATATTATCAAAGTGGCCACGCATTTCTTTGTACAAGTTTACACGAATCGTACGGTTTTACATTACTTGAATCTCTTTCATGTGGAACACCGATCATTTATCCCAAATGTGAAGTTTTTCGTAAATTATATCAAAAAGATTTTCCTCAATTGGAATTTGATGTTGATGATGATGAACAATTTCTCAATGCATTGACTTATGTTCAAGAAAATACCGACGAATTAAGAGAACTTTCGAGAAAATATGCAGAAAAATATTCGTGGGAAAAATCCACTGAAGATCTTTTAGATATTTATCAACATATTTCTCTTTCTAACAAATAAATCTTTGAATATGATCAAAAGATGAAATAAACAGAGAGAAAACTGCTGTATTGCGCATAACTATTCCAAGTACAAACGAAACGAGCCCAATCATCGTGATATTTGCTACAAATATTTCTGTTTATTCGAGCATAAATACACCAATAAAAAATATTCGTTTTTTTTTCTCACAAAAAGGATTCCTGCCGATATAGATTGTCTCTTTTTGAAAAAAATCGATCAAGCGTTAATCCAAGGTCAAGAATACGAAGGTGAAATTTCAAGATGTTTTCCTGTTTCGTTTTGATCTTAATTGTTCTTTTAATATTAATTTATTATAAATTAACATATAAATCCAAAGAAATCTATGAGAAATTACGTTCACAAAACGTTCCTGGTGAACCTTTTGTTCCAATATTTGGTCAAATCAAAGAATTTCGAAAATATTTTCAGTTAGACAAACCAATGGAATATCAAATTGATTTACAAGGCAAATATGGCGATTTATTTGTCTTCTCCATGGGTCCTTTTGTTACTCTTGTGATCATCGATGCTGATCTCATTTGTGAAATTTTAACAAAGAAAAATTCGTTTTATACGAAACCACAATTATTCCGTAATCAATTTAGTCCAATTTCAGGGAAATGTAATTTAGTCTTAGCTGAAGGAGAAATTCATCAACATTCAAGACAAATGTTAAATCCGGCATTTCATTATGCAAATTTACAATTTTTAACTTCAATTATGTCAGAAGAAACAATGAAAAGCATTGAACGATGGAAAGAGATCTATGCGAATGAATATTTTGATATTCAAATTGAACTTCATGCTCTATCTTTCGCAATTATTTGTTCATCGTCATTTGGAATGAAAATGACAAATGATTTAACTAAACAAATGTGCCAAATGTTCAAAGAAGGTTTTGATGCGGTTTATTATCGAACGAATCATTATCCGATAATACAAATTCCACTTCTAAATCAATTACCAATCTTAAAAAAGCCTATTTTAGACAAAAATGCCAGAATTTTCCGTCAACTTGCGAAGAATATGGTGCAAAAACGCAAAATTGATATGCAAAATGCGAATTTCGAACAAAATGATCTGTTAAATATTTTATTTACAATCGAAGATGAAAAAGGGGAGAAATTAAGTGATGAACAGATTGAAAATGAAGCCATTGCGTTTATTATCGCTGGTCATGAAACAACAGGATCACTTCTTATTTGGACTTTATATCTTCTTCTGACAAATTCTCAAATATTCAATGATTGTCGAAATGAAATTGACGAAGTTTTAAAAGGAAAAATACCGGAACATGAAGATTTGATTCATCTGCCAATTCTTGATGCGATTATTCAAGAAACATTAAGATTATATCCACCGGTGTCAATGGTTATGCGGCAATGTATTGTTGAACATAAAATTTCCAATGAACAATTAACAATTCCAGTTGGAACGGGAATTTTATTCAATTTTTATAATTTACATCGATCGGAGAAATATTGGAAAGATCCAAATACATTTGATTATCATCGATGGATGAGAAATTCCAATGGTTTCAAACCGAAATTATCTCATCCATTTGCTTATCTTCCATTTTCAGCAGGAAATAGAAATTGTATTGGACAAAATTTTGCTCTTATTGAAGCGAAAATTATTATGATTTTATTAATTCAAAGATTAAATATGGAAATTGAACCAGAACAAAAGATTCTTCCAACTCATCGAATTACATTAAAACCAAAATATGGAATTCGAGCCAAAATTCAACAAAGAAATTTCTCAGTCGAAACAAACTGATTCACTTATACAACTTGAAGAAATAAACTTTTTTTAAATATTTTCTCGTAGAAACGGATATTCAGAATAAAACAGACTTGACTCTTCTTTACTTAATTCATTTGGATGATTTTCCGAAAAGTTTTCAGATCTGGAAAAACCGTTCAAGAAAACTAAACATGAGCGAAATAGACGAGACAGTTGTTCCATTCTCTCTCTCTCTCTGAAAATAAGACCTTCAATCCATCTATTCTTTTCATACAATAAACAACATTCGATGAATTTCCTGGATAAAATTTATCTAAAGTAAATTGTTTTTATTTTCAATGAATTAATAAAACACAGATACGCAAAACAAACAAGTTTGAAAATTCTTTCTCGAATCGTCGAAATTGCCATTATTCCAAGATTTAAATGATTTTCTTCGAATGTTCGAGTTCTCCACCATATTTGCAAACAGCAATTCGCATCATTGGAAGAATATGATGTTCAGCTATATTATGCTGACGTATCCCACCGTGAAATGCAGCTGTTGCATCTTTTCCTATTTGATTTTCCAGAAGATTTCTTCTTCATGGATGTGCATCAATAAAATGAGTAAGATTATGGATAAAACCTGCAATTAAAATAAGGATACGATCGTTCGTCTTCTTTGCTAAGATTTGATATTCTTTGAAAGAAATTATTGGTAAATTCGACTTTGGCCAAATGAGTTTTTCTTTGAATTGATTTAATTTTTTTCTTTCCATTTCATATCGACCTTTTTCAATTTCGTTCGTTGGAAATTGTTTCAAATGGTTCGCTAAGTGAAGTTTTCCAAACAATCGAATAAAAAGTTTCGTTGTATTGTAATGAAACCATTTGATTCCATTTCGATAATTTGATGGAAATTCGTGATGAAAATTATGATAACCTTCTCCGAACGTCAAAAGAGCTGTGAATAAATGATCGCGTGGGGAATGTTTATCATCAAAAGTTGCATCACCCAGATAATGTGCCAATGAATTGACACAAAATGTTGAATGATGAATGATCACAAGACGTAAAACTCCTGCATAGAAATATCCTCCACGATAATCGTTCCACCCTCATCCACAAATCATCATGGAAAGAAAAAATGCCATAAGAAAAGCTAAAACAAGGTAATTTTTGTGTTGCCATTGAACACATTTATCACGAAGAAGATCTGTTACATCAACTGAACCTGCCTTTCGACAAGATTTCAATATTAATCAACCAATATGAGAATAAACAAGACCTTTATGTGCACTATAAGGATCGAGATCTGTAACAACATAACGATGATGTGTACGATGACCACGTACCCACCATTGACCAGATCCTTGAACAGATCCAGCAGCGAAGAGAAGTAAAAGAAAACGTAAAGGAGCAGTTGCTTCGTATGCTCGATGAGCTAAAAGTCGATAATATCCAGCATTGATACTCGCAAATGTCAAGAAATATCAAATTATGGAAAAAACAACGGTTTGCCACAGAATTGAAGTTGTTAGAAGATCATACAAAGCTACAAAAGATTCAAGACATAATAATAATGCTTGAGGCCAATTGACTTCTTTGTACTAATTTGACCAAGTTGAGGGTGTCAATTTCTCTTTCTTCAATTGATTGAAATTCAATGGCCAATGAAGAATCTCGAAATGAAAGTTCTTTCGATATATCGAGTGGTTTAGGAATATAAAGTGTATCACATGTTTCCAATTGATTAACAACAAAAGCCATCGTTTTAATCTAAAAACCAAAAGAACAGAATGATTTCAGAGTAAATGATAGTTCGAAATATTTTATTCATAAGACAAAAAAACGAAAACAGATCCGAAGAAGACGTTGTAAAAGTTGATTGATCATTCTAAAGATTAAAATCATTCCAAATGAGTATCAAAATGAAATATTTACTTGATTCTCCGTTGAACAATCAATGTGATTAATAAAAATAAAATGATTGAAAACCAATAACGAATTCTATTTGATACAAAAATGAGCATTCGAATGTCCTATGACATATTCCTAATTCCAGAACATGTCTTACTTAGTTTTTCTAGTTGAACGACGTGATAATTGATGTAAAGGTTCTTTTAATAAATATTTTTTTGTTCCAATTGAATAATTTCGAAGATACGATGACCAATTCAATTGTTTTGTATCAAAATTGAATTCCTTGACATTGAAATAAATTACAAGAGAAGAAAAAGGAAAGTTTTACTTGTTTATCGAAATGATTCATTTGATTTAATAAATTTTCACTATTTTTATTCGAGAAAATCCATTGATTTTGAGAAAAAGGTTCCATTGATCGAATTAAATTGTTGATTTTTTTATCTAATTTGATCATTCTAAAGTCAAATAAATCATTTTAACTCTCTTTCTCATATTTTCACTCACTTTCCACTTCGAAAAGTCACAAAAGCAAAGAAATCCATTAGATACGCAGGAAGAATTTCTCCAATGAAGCGTCGAGAATAATAAGAAACTCTAAAATGAAATTGCAAAGTATTTGCTCTTTATGGACAACACAATTTTGCCGAAATGCTCATGAAAAAGAAGGAAAGCGTAGGAATTTATAAAGTTCAACTCTAATCAATAAAGATCGAACATTGAATTCGAACCTGTTAGTCGAAATTTTCAGATGTGGCTCGATGAATTGATAATTTTCATATTGAATCGCTTTTTGTTCGGTAATTATTGTTTGTACTAAAAATCAAAACCATTCGTTTTGTTTTGCCGATTCAAAGTAAATTTATGGAAGTACGCACAAAAATCTTGAAGATTTAAACAAGTTTTCGTCTTTGTTCCAGAACAACAATTATAAACAGTTGGATTTGATGATCTAAATCAAATAAAAACAAATAGGAAAAGCGAAAACAATTGAAATTCCTACAAATTTTGATTCACAGCTGTAAACCAGCTAATAACAATCGTCATATTTGCCACAGTATCGACAGGAATCATTGGATGATCAACTATTGAGTTTGACATTATTGTTCGTAATAAACGTTTTCCAGTCTAAACTGTTCAAATTTATTTCGACATGGAAATTCAAATGAATTTACAGTGACAAGAACATTTGTTACACCACTGTTACAATCGATCCAGCCCTAACGGAGACTTTGTTCAAAAAAGCAAAGAATTTCATCGAAAATTTCTTACTTCAATTGGTTCTTTCCACGCAGCACCGATAATTGAAGGTCGAACAATCGCTATACAAAACAAAATAGAGAAGAAAAGGTTTCGTTCGATGAGAATTTACCTATAGGTAAATCTTTTCCTTCTTGTAAAATCAATTGTTCAGCTAATGATTTTGTATATGTATATGTGTTGGGAAATTTCGCTAAAACTCTCTTGGAAAAATGATCGAAAATCTTCTCATTAAAAAATTCGAGAGTATCTAATAAAACACTTGGGTTTTCATTGGTTGGATAAATGATTTCATCGATATCTGTTCGATAACAATGAACATACGCAGTTGAAATATGAACACACGACTAAAATTCACATTTAGCCTTATTTTTACGGAAATTTTTCTTCTCACCTGCAGTTGTTTCATCTTTTTACACAAATTAATGATACTTTGAACGGATAAAACATTCGATTTGATCGCTTCTCTAAATAGATCGAAGTTTCGAAAGGGAAAGAAGAGAAAAGATTTACTTTAATGGAACGGTAAATCGAACTGATGCACCTGAATTGATAATAACATGACAATTGTCAACGATGAGTTGTTCATCTTCATGAGTCAAATCGAAATTGACTTTTGTCAAGTCACCATTGATTGGAATTAATTTCGATTGAAAATTTGGATTTAACGAACGAATTTTATCGAATAACTTTACGGGAAAATGTATTTTCTAAGAAAAAAATGAATTGACTTACAGGTGACGAACACAATTGATCAATTCGAATATTTATATTCGCACCACGTTTCGATCTGATTAATATATAGATACAACGAATATCTAAATTTGAAGGAAAATTTGTTTTTTTCTCATATTTGAAATCAAATTTTTCAACCTGAACATGATCGGAGAAGTTTTTCAATAATTTGTTTTCCAACAAAACCAGTTCCACCTGTTATAAATACAGATTTACCATTGAAAAATTCATTGATTGAACCATGTTCATTATTGCTTGTCATTTTTTGTTACAATATCAAAAAAATTTTCTACAATTAGATCTAAAATACGAAAGAAAACGATTAATGAACAAATCCATCAAGAATGTTCTCTTTACGTTTTGTTCCACAAAGTACTTTTATCAAATAGTTCGATCTAGGAGCAAAAGAATGTATTCATTACATCCATTCATTATACAATCATAAATATGAATGAGAGAAGTGATATTGTATAGAGAATACCAGTCATCATATTCATTTATTATATCGATTTATCCAAGCGTAGAACTGTCCTATTCTTTATACGTGCAATGTCACTATACAAAAGTCGAACTTCATCTAAATGACAAGTTTCATGAAAAAAATGATTCATAGGAAACAAAGGAGCCTACTAAATGAGAGACTACCTAGCCGAGCAGATAAGAATGTCATAAAACGCGTGATAACGATATGGTTTTCGGAAAATAAGCGCATGCACCTACAAACAAAACAAACGCTCATAATGTGGGATGAAAACGCGTAATTATCAGAAATTTTGACTGAAATCACGCTGATTAGAAACAATCGACATATACACGGCAACAAAATGAGTATTTTACGCGTGTACACAGCCAGAAATTGTTGACGACTAAAATTCTTTAGGTTTGTTTAAAAAAAAGTTGAAATATTGGTGTTTACTTTACACAACCACTTATTTCCACACGCGTTTTTCCGAATTCTTGTTTGCTTGGATACGAAAATCTTCCTTTAAAAGTTATTTTCTATGATCTCTACACGAATATATATTGTGATAAATATCAAGTTTTTACAGTAGTGAAGTCAAAATAGACATACCTGTACGGTTAATGTTTTCTCTTTAAAATTCTCTCGTGATGCTACAACACATTTGTACGATACGAAAAACATGATGATGAAGGTGTAGACGGCAGTAAAATATCTCCTATGGCATTGCAATCTTCTCTGAAGATTTCTTGTGTTCGAGAATATATTGATTAAATACTAAAATTTGACTGAACATTCATGCAGTTAACTAATGCATATTAGAACGACCAAGGGACGGTTATCATTGTTAATAGGCAAACTTTCTCTAAACACTTTCTCAAGTATTTCGGTTATAGTAGTCCACAATTGCGAAACTGAAGATTTGAATTGTCTGAAAAAATGCTTTCCATCTTCTATTCAAACAACAAGCACAGCTCCATATCGACAATATTTCACAAAGACATGCCTTAAAGTGTTTTCTAAAAAATCCTTTAATTCAAGTTGTACTCAGATCATCGATTTATCCAACAAATTCTTTTCTAATGATATTCTTTTGTTGAAGATGTAAACAATATGAATTAGTGTGGTAACGAATTGAATAATAATGTAAATGAAACAGACTGATATATCAATCCAGAGAAATCTTCGTAAATACTTGTGTAATTATTCATGACGCCATGATAAACGAAATTCAATGAATAGAAAACATGTTTATAACTCTGTTTCCCTTTTCTATGCATGTCTATCGGAAATGAGATGATTTACTTAAAAATGAAGAAGTTCTCTTTGAATCAATTATAAACCATTATTGAAAAATCTTCGACAGATCGATTTCATTGATGAAAGAAGGGAAAATTTGTTGAAAATGACATGACTCATTCAGTGTCATCTATCGAAAGACTCGATATCATTTATCAATAAGAACGAACGAATGAAAAATTGTTGTTTTATTTATTTCTCGATGAATTGTGTCGTCCAGATACAAGTGCAGACAACAACAAAACGAAAAAAAAATTCAATTGAAAGAGAAGAATACGATAAATGAACGAATCTTCTTTTCATTTCATTTAAATGGTACATTTTATCTTGGTGTTTTATTATAGCTAAAGAATAATTTTTGTTTATTATCGGTCAATTCATTTATGGGCTTAAGTATCGACAAAATCAATCCAGAAAAAATTTCATTTACTTCTGGCATGAAAATCGTGAATGTCAATCATGCTGGTACCGTTTACTTTGTTCAACACAAGGTTAAAGAAATCGACGCGACAGAAGTAATCAATGATCAACTTGAAAAAAGATCGCATTATGGAATTGCTGTTGATATAACTGGTATTTCAAATAACATCTATGATTATTTACCATTTTTTTGTCATTGTTTCAGGATCATCAAATGAACAACATTTAATTGCCACTCATTTTGATTTATACATTCGAAGTTCGACAAACTATACAACACAAGTGATCGCTGATCACAAAACAGATGAATGGAATTATTATCTTCGAGTCGATAAAGTTGGTAAAATACCATATGAACAAATTTTGGCTTTTTATTTACCCGAACATTATGCAGATTATCTTAAATCCAATTTAATTCAATATGTATTTAATCCTTTATGTCGATCGAACGATGGTCCAACATGGTCAAATATTCTCAATTGTCAAACTTTCACACGCAACAGCATTAATTATTTGGAATGTGAATTTCCATCGTCTGTTCGAATAACAAGCGATTGCATTCCCACAATGATGGACTTCTATATACAAGCAAACAAATGAATTCTCAAAGAAGTAAAATATTTATCATTTGTTCACTACGGAACTTTTTTGTTATATGAATAAACGATTTTAAAGAAATCTGTTGTTATATATGTGAAGGAATTCAAGAGTGAACCAGGAGATACTTCACAAGAAAATGTGTTGATTTATTCGATTTTTAGTAACGAGACAACCAGGAAGAGTAGCAGAACAAAAGAGAGAGAGAGATGAGCTCATGTACATATGACTAGATTAATGAAGTTAGCTTAGAACATGAACTAAACGAGAAAGGAAACGGAAAGGTAAAGAGGGAACAGTGAGGGTGAGATCCGTCATAATATATTTAAAGCATATTCCTACGATTACACAAACAATAAACCTACAGATTAGATGAAACGCTTATGCACAAAATGAGTTTCTTTGCTAATAGGAATAATTTATATATCAACATCGATTTTAATAATGAATCTCAAATATTTGATTCAATGACGATTAATTATGACAGTTGTTCTAATTATGATTTGACGAGAATATTTGCAACATTTTTTTTATCTAGCAGAATCATTTTCATATTGCAATGTCTTCATGAAAGTTCTTTTCTCTATGTAGATCATATATGTCAATCAAATAACTAATGACATCTATAGAAAGTTTTCATGTAATTTGTTAATGACAACGAACCAATAGAAATTTGTTGTTTTTCTTTCTCGGTGCATTGTGTATAAATAGTTGTGTTGCAATGTAATTTCGTCCATTCCTGTTTAGTTGAAGTCGAAGTAAGATGGTTTACTTCAACTCACAGATCGCTGATTCGACAGCTCCGTATCGAAATGTACGTCGTGTACAATTCGGTATCTTATCACCTGATGAAATAAAACGTATGTCAGTTACAAATCCTCCGATCGAACATCCTGAATTGATGGAAGGAGGAAAACCTAAAGAACGTGGTCTAATGGATCCACGACAAGGACCGCCTGACCGAAATTCCAAATGTAAAACATGTGCTGGTTCATATATCGAATGTCCAGGTCATTTTGGTCATATCGAATGTGAGAATGAGAGAAATCTCTTGATAAATTTCATTCTTTCTTTTTGACTTTAGTAACAAAACCAGTTTATCATGTTGCTTTTCTTTCGAAAGTCTTAAAAGTTCTACGTTGTATTTGTTTTCATTGTTCGAAATTACTCGTTGATCCAAATGATCCGAAAATTGTTGATATTTTGAAAAAAACCAAAGGACAATATCGTCGACGTTTAGCTTTTGTTTTCGATGTTTGTAAAGGACAAAAAGTTTGTAAAGGTTTGTTATCGCGAATATTTCCTCGAAGAAAATTCTATTTATGTTCTTGTTTTCTTTTTCTTCGTCTAGGAAGTGAAAGTGACAACAACAACGAAGTAACATTGAAATATAGTGGCGGCTGCGGTCGTCCTCAACCAAAATATCGTCGATCTGGGTTAGATGTTTACATTGAATGGAAAAATGTTCCGGATGAAAATCAAGAACGAAAGATGAAATTAACTGCTGAACGTGTCTTAGCGATCTTCAAATCAATTCCTGATCAAATTTGTCACATACTTGGAATGGATCCACGTCATGCAAGACCTGATTGGATGATTATTACTGTCTTACCTGTTCCACCCATGTGTGTTCGACCATCTGTATTAGTATTTGGTACAGCACGTAGTCAAGATGATTTAACATATAATTTAGCAAATGTTTTGAAAGCAAATAAAACTTTACGTGAAGATGAACAACGTGGAACAGCTTCGCATATTGTTGATGAACATTTACAATATCTTCAATATCATTGTGCAACATTANTACGAATTGAATTAGATCGAAAACGAATGACGGATAAAACTTTAACTATGGAACAAATCTCTGAAAAGATTTCTCAAGGCTTCGGTGATTGTCTCAATGTTATATTCAATGATGATAATGCGGAAAAACTTGTTTTACGTATTCGTACAGTTGATCAAGCGAAAAGTGCAGCAGGAGAAGAAGTCGAAGATACAACACGAATGGATGATGATACATTTTTACGTTGTTTAGAATCATCGATGTTGTCTGATTTAACATTACAAGGTATTGAAGCCATTGCCAAAGTTTATATGGTCAATCCAAAACTCGATGAATCGAAGAAACGTATTCAAATTAGTGAAAATGGTGAAATTGAAAAAATCGCTGATTGGATGTTAGAAACCGATGGTACAGCTTTGAAGAAAGTCTTATCAACAAAAGATGTCGATTCACGTCGAACATTTACCAATGATGTTGTGGAAATTTTCGATGTACTTGGTATTGAAGCTGTACGAAAAGCAATTGAACGTGAAATGAATCATGTCATCTCATTCGACGGTTCTTATGTTAATTATCGTCATTTAGCTTTGTTATGTGATGTTATGACCACCAAAGGACACTTAATGGCTATTACAAGACATGGTATCAATCGACAAGACGTTGGACCCATTATGAGATGTTCATTCGAAGAAACTGTCGATGTTTTAATGGAAGCAGCGGCACATGCCGAAACAGATCCATTGAAAGGTGTTTCAGAAAATATCCTTCTCGGACAATTAGCCAAAATCGGTACAGGTTCATTTGAATTATTGTTAGATGTAGAAAAATGTGCATCGGCAATGGAATTACCAATGAATTTTGGACAAGGGCAATTTGCATTAATGGGACATGAAGCGCAACAAGAATTCGAACGTGATCGACATGGTCCTGGAACACCTTGGATCAATTCATTGTCAACAACACCATCGCATTGGCCACAAACGCCTGCACAAATGACACCGATGGGACAAGGTGGATTTTCACCATCATCAACAACCGATACAATTGGTTTTTCACCTGCTTATTCACCTGCATATCCATCATCACCTGGAAATATGTCACCATCACCATATACAAACATTCAATCGCCATTATCACCCTCAAGTTATAATCCACAATCACCTAGCAATTATCCAGTTACATCACCATCGTATTCACCGAATTCACCATCATATTCTCCAACCTCGCCAAGATATTCATCAAATGATTTCTATGGTTCGAAATCTCCTCATTATAGCCCAACAAGTCCATCCTATGGCGCAACAAGTCCAACATATTCTGGTAGTGGTGCAAAACAAGGTTCAACATCGCCATTCTATTCACCAACGAGTCCGTCTTATTCACCAACATCCCCATCATACTCACCAAATCGTTCATATTCACCAACATCGCCAACTTATTCAGCACAAAGTCCAGCATTGAAAAATCAAGCTTATGGAACATCACCTAAATATAGTCCAACAAGGTACTTGATCAAAAGAAATCTTTCTTTTTGAATATAAATTTCATTATCTCTCTTTAGTCCAAGTTATTCTCCATCGTCACCATCGTATTCTCCAACAAGTCCATCTTATTCACCATCATCACCTGGCTATTCACCATCTAGTCCACGTTATTCTCCATCGTCACCCGGTTATTCAAATACTGGTCCATCACCAAAGTATTCACCATCATCAAAGTATTCTCCACAAAGTCCATCATATTCACCATCAAGTCCTTCATATAGTACGTTTTCTATTACAATTCATCACCTTCATTTTCATCTATTTTCCTTTTCTTTCAGCTCCAACAAGTCCATCTTATTCACCAACATCACCAACGTATAGTCCAACATCTCCAACCTATTCACCTCAATCTCCATCAGGTCCATCAACACCTTCATACAGTGAGTTCATCATAAGATAGATTTTCCTATTATCTATTTCGATATTTCTCAGGTCCGACATCTCCTACCTATTCTCCAACATCACCGCAATATTCACCAAGTGGCCATGGTGGTAGCAGTGCATCCCCAACCTACTCACCAACATCACCAACGTATTCTCCAACATCTCCCACTTATTCACCAACATCACCACAATATTCACCCAGTTCACCTGTTTATAAACCATCAGGCAGTCAATCTGGTTATACTTCATCTCTTTCTCCCACATCACCGCAGTACAGTCCAACATCACCAACATATTCTCCATCTCAATCATCACCAAGATATAGTCCAACATCTCCAATCTATAGTCCAAATATTGGTTCACCACGTTATAGTCCAACATCCCCTCAATATTCTCCTCAATCTCCCGCATCATCGACAATATCTTCGTCAATGTCTTCACCACGTACTCATGATGATGATGATTTAAACGACAATGGAGACTTAATGGAATAAACTACACAAGAGACTTTGTAAATTTGTTCATTAGAAAACAAAAAAAAAATAGAAGTGTTGTTTTTTTCTCATCTCTTGAAAATAAAAGTTGACCTTTATATGTAAGACAAACATTTTCCTCTTTTGCACAATAACAGATTGTCTTGGAAAATAAAAGTAAATAAGATTTACAACAAAGAAAGGTAATTTTTCTTCGGTAGTGTCAAACTTGAATTCAAAATGAAGATATCGTAGCGAATTGTTCTTCATTTTGAAAAATATTTTCTTCCGAAAAATAGTGTGAAGAAAAAACATCTGATGATTGATGATGATGATAAAACGAAAGAACGAAAAAGAGAAGAAAAAAAAATCTAAACTAATGAGTAAGAATGTCTATATGTATACAAATAATGAGGAGGTCCTTCGTCAAACAGGAATGATAAAGAAACGTGATCGACTCTTATCAATCAATATACGTGTCGGAATTTGTGTAACTCATTAAAAAGGGAAGAAAAAGAATATTTTATTTTATTCGATTGACAAGATGGGTAACGATGCACATTTTATCGACGTTGATGATTTACCGTTTCGTTTGATTGATATTCCAATTGGCACAGCACCACCACCACCAACTCCACCTATTCGAAGATCACATAAACGTCGTGCTCCACCAGTTCCTCCACCACGTATTGATGGATATGATGCACCTCCTTCTCTTTCTCCTCCACCAATAATTCCTAAACGATCCGATATTCCATCATCACCAGCACCACCACCGATTCCTCCACGATTTGATCTTGGTCGAGAAGATCCTTTTATATATTATATTCCGAAGAAAACTCATTATCATAGTAAAAAGTTTCGCAAATCAAAACTCGCATGTTGTGTTGTTTCCTAATGTAAGATTTTCGTTTTATTTTAAATTAAAACCAGTGATTCATGTTTGTCGTAATCTGATCAAATATTTCCTCAATCATATTGTACTCTCAGACAGTCTCTAGTAGGACATTGATTTTTAAATTAAAACTGTTTCCGAAGATTTGCTATTGATATCCTCGAATCATTGCCGATCAAAGAATTCAAATGATGACCGGATCTACGATCTGAAATTGAAACGTGATTGTCTTCTATCAGTTGATACACGTGTTGGAATTTGATTCATTGTTAAACAAGAAATATTTTCTCTTATTTTATTCAATTAATGAAATGGGGAATGACGCACATTTTATCGATGCTGAAGATTTGCGATTACGTCTGATTGATATTCCACCGTTCGTCTCAAAACGCTTCAACATTCCAACATTGTACATCCATCAAATATCTGATCTTAATCAACAGATTTCCAATAAACATGCGGCATAAGAAAGAAAATTGAATATCATGCAAAAAAAATACACAAATCCAAATAAACATTGTATTATATTCGAAAAAGAAGAATTTTTCATTTTGATGTCCAAATAAATGTTTTCTTCAAGTTGAAAGATTTATTATTCTCAGACATCAATTCTAAAAATAGCAATAATAATAATCGATTATAATCGTTGAATATTTCCGATACTTGTCCGGTATTATCGCTTCGGCAACAACAAAATAATATTTGATTATGTAGAAAGAGTTTCTCTTTTGGAATAGAAAAACTAGATTTCAAATGAAATTGACATGTTTTGCAAGAGTTTCTTCTAGAATTTTCTGTCTTTTGTTACTCATTTCATTAGGTTAAAGAATCGAATAGTAAAATTCGAAGTAAAAGCTTGAACTTCTCATTTATTTGAAAAGTAATTGAGCATCTAGTAGAAGAAATCATTGCAAAATAAACGAGAACATGAATAAAGTTAAAAGAATTGATCTTCAAAGGAATTTCCATTATCGATTATTCAAATTTAATTGAAAAAAGAAAGACCAAACTCGAATAAATTCATTTCTTTATTTAAATCGATGGAAAATCTGATTAGTGAAAGTAAATCATTAGAAATTTGCTTTTCTCTGAATCTACATCTTCACCTATTACAATCGAAAGAAGAAGAAAAATTCTTTTTTCCGATAAAACTGCTCGATTAAGTTGTTAAATGAATTTTCCGCAAAGAATTTCCTTTATATCATTGATAAAAATAAAATAAAACACACATTATTCTTTCATTCATAAATATTTCATCATAAAGAAATGTTGATCGAAGTTCACTACGGTAATGGTTCAATTTTACTTATCAATGGAAATTGTCGAGTAAATAAAATTTATTTTTGTAAAGATCAAAATAGATTTTCTTTATAAAATAGTCAATTAATTTTGTAAATTATCTTCGTAAACATTGTTGTGTATCATTAACAATTCCAATTGATTTATGTTCATTAAATACTGGTGAACCATTTCATCTTTTATCATCACAAACTAAAATTGTTTCAGCTGATCAACGTCGTTTACCAGCTCATTTGCATTGTGTTTTAACACGAATTGAAGGTTTTTCTTTTCTTTAAAAATTCAATGAATTTCTTGTCATTGTTTTGTAGAAGATGGAACATATATTCCTTTACTAAATGATCCAACATTGATTACAAATGAGTTTTTAGCAAAATTAAAACGAGCAACATCAACGTCGGTAAAACCAATTCCAACAAAAACAAATACAAAATCAACAAAACAACAAAAACTTCAAATTGAAAAACCGAAAAGACGACGAAGTCTTAAATCGGTTGCAATTGTAGCCACAATTGTTAATAGCCTTAAACATTAAATCCAACGATTTTCGACACTTAATCCGTCAATATCGACTCCTTTCTGATTCGTAAATAAATGAATTGGTACGATAGCCGGAGAGTTTTGTAAACTTTTTCTATGCTTTGATTTTGGTGAAGTGTAAGAGACGTATCTGTCAATTGATTCTTATGATTGAAAAAGTAATAATGCATAAAATTCCTGTATAATCGCAATACATGCACATAACAAACGAAAATATATTTGCTGAATTACATAGAAGAGTGATGAAAATAAATCTTATTTTATATTGTTCAGATCCTGAGCTGATGGTTCAATTAGTGATGATACTAAACTATATGTAATTCAAATATATAGATGATTGTAATGAAGAACTCTATTTGATCGTTCTTATCATTCTGATCCTCGCGTTCTAGACGGTTTTTTCCTTTTCATAGTCAACTCGCATAGTTTTATAGATAAGAGAAAGGGACAAATAAGCACAGCAAACAAAAAACAAAGATATTTTTCTCTATTGGCTTCTTGCAAGTAACATGTGGAAAAAGTTGTTAGCATTTGTTGTTCTGCTGCTAATTCCCGGCTTCATATGGAATTACTTTCTTTATATTTTATGTCACATAGCGCTTTTCTGTATATGTATGTCTTGTTTTCGTCACTTATTTAACAAGGTGTTTGACAAATATGGCAAATCTTTAATTCAAGCACAAAGTGGAAATACTGAAGTAAAAATCGTCTGTTTTCCATCTATATTTCTCACAAACTATAGAATCTATTATGAACGGACAGGTTCCACTGGTATGCAGCAAAGAGAATTATTATTAATTAAGTCACAGACTGGTGAATCAAGCGCAATTCTAACTGAATTGATTAACGGAGAGTCTTATGATATTTATTTGAGAGGACGATTTTCATGGATAGATCAAGAAAGTGAACTGGCACATATCCAAGTGTCACCTCGCATACTCCCACCTACTACATGTCGAGCAGAAACCAGTCATATGAATGCTACCATCTTTCTAACATGGTCATGTGTACCTCATGCAACTGGCTATGAAATTGAGCGAATGTCATGCACTGAAGATGTTCAATCGAAGTTCATTAAGATTGCAACGATTCCGAGTGCCGGAACAACTGCTTATTCCGATGAATCTAATCTTGTAAATGGTAATAGCTATAAGTACAGAATTGCAGCCATAGACGGGCGAGCAACAAGTGATTTTTCATCCATCATCACAGCAACACCCCAATTTGGAGCACCTGCTAAATTCAAAGCCGTGTCAGGTCTAGAAAGTACTTCTATTGTTCTTTCGTGGACATTTGTAGAAAATGCAACTGGTTACAGGATTGAACGAGCATTACCTATCAATGATGTGATGGATTTCACTGTCATTCAAACTATTTCAAATGGTCGAACGACCACTTATAACGATAAATTTGCGCTGATAAACGGAAAAACATATAGTTATAAAATTGCAGCTATCAAAAATCAATTCGTAAGTGCATTTTCTCCGATTGCCTCAGCAACATCTCAATTATCATCGCCTGCTCGTTTTCAAGCAGAAACTGGCAACGAGAGTCGCACAGTTATTCTCTCATGGGCAACTGTAGCAGATGCTACTGGTTACGAAATTCAACGAGCAATATCTAATTATCGGACAATGGATTTCGCTACTATTGCAACTATTACAAGTGCAGAAACGACCAGTTATATCGATAGATTTAACCTTGTCAATGGAGAAGATTATGTTTACAGAATCGCAGCTATTGATAATATGTCAACAGGTGCTTTTTCAACTAATATTTCAGCAACTCCTGAACTACCACCACCACGCGATTTCAAAGCAGTTCTCAACGAAGAAACCGCTGCTGTTACTCTCTTATGGTCATCCTTACGGGATGCAACCGGTTATAAAATTTTCCGAGCAGATAAGGACATTTGCACGCCAAACTTTAGCGAAATTGCAACTATATCCGATGGTAGCATAAGACAATACATTGATAGATCAAATCTTGAGAATGGTAAAACTTATCAGTATAAGATTGCGGGCATCGATATTCGATCAAAGTGTGATGGTTGGTTGACAGTCTTGCCCATAAAACGATTCTCATCCATTATTACTATCACACTATCACTATTGGCACCTGATAATTTGAAAGCAACTGCAGGTAGAGAAAGTGCTAGCATTGACATTTCCTGGTCATCTGTTACTAACGCAGCTAGTTATGAAATTCAACGATCGGGGTTGCCCACCAATGGCATA